TCTCTCTCTCTCTCTCTCTCTCTCTCTCTCTCTCTCTCTCTCTCTCTCTCACCTGCGCGTACCCTCGACCGGCGACCGAAAATTGAGAATGATTCTTTCGAGGGTCGGCTGAAGGATTCATCAGAAATGTCGAGGGCGCGCGTGTGGGTCAAAAAGAAAAGAGAGAGAGAGAGAGAGAGAGAGAGAGAGAGAGAGAGAGAGAGAGAGAGAGAGAGCACCAAAATTTGCCACAGAGAGAGAGAGAGAGAGAGAGAGAGAGAGAGAGAGACAGAGAGAAAGAGCACCAAAACTCGCCAGATCTGTCTGGCCAGTTTTGGTGCTCTCTCTCTCTCTCTCTCTCAGAGACCCGAGTTGTCGAAGTGCAAAACGAGGATGAATCTTCTGTGGGAACACGAGAAGATCCGTTCTCTCTCTCTCTCTCTCTCTCTCTCTCTCTCTCTCTCTCTCTCTCTCTCTCTCTCTCTCTCTCCGGCCCGAGGTGTCGAAGTGCAAAACGAGGATGAATCTTCTGTGCGAACACGGGAAGATCCCCTCTCTCTCTCTCTCACACACAGACACACACACACACACACACACACACACACACGCACACCAACCTGCGCGCGCAACAAAACAGGGTACTTTGTTTTTCTTTTTTCGTTTTTCCATAGATGATTCTCGTTTATTTTTTCGTTTTTTTCTCTTTCATAAGTTTTATTTGATCTTTTGTTCCACTACTGGTAGCCCGAGTTTCGCGAGGTTCGGCGGGCCGGAAGAGAGTTGGAAAAAAAGTACCTCCAGGTACTGGTGGTTTAATCGATGATACTGTAAGGGTGGATTATGACTTACAGGACACTAGATTTTCTAGGATTCTTCTTTTTCTCTCTCCTCAAAATTTTAAAAATACTATTTCCTGAAGAGATTAGAGGCCGGGGTCCTCAACATTACTCCCGATTGGAAACATACTGGAAGCATCATCCAGCTTAGCTTACAGGCTTAAGCCTGCAGGTCTTTCATTACAGACCTCGCAGCTCTTTGGCTGCTTGCTACTCCCCACCAACCCTAGCAGACTACCATCTCCTAATAAAGTCGCTACTAAACTACCAGATGTAGATCCTACTATTGTACAGCCGCCACTTATTACTACAGCCTCTATACGAAACTGTGGAGGAAAACACCTTCAAAGGCTCTACCTACTAAACTGTTTTGTACTCACAGCAGGTCCTTCCTTCGGACCCGTGGAGCCTCTTTTTTTTTTCTTTTTTTTGGGGGAAAGAGCTGTGGCTGTCTACTCGGACCCGTGGAGCCTATTTCAGCTCCACCTAATTTGAACGCTCGTTCCCGCCGCACTTGCCAACCAACTGCTGCCTTCCTCCTGTGGAAAAAGGACCAAACGTCCATTTCTAGGATTCAGCCACCTCATGAGTTTGCAAAACTCCAAGAAAACAGAATGTTACAGCCCCCCTTTTCTTGTCCTTTTCTCCCGTTCTGACTACGGTTCAGTGGACAGTTCTCTGTGACTAACTCCAAGGAAACAGTTTGTCACAGTCCCCTGTTTCTTCCCCTTTTCTTTAAGGAAACATCGGAGTACACGCCTTCCCCGCTGAAGGCCTGGCCTATGGTCAGACACATGGGTCCACCT